GGCGTCGACAGAAATGTATGTTGAACATTGTTATCCCTTACGGCTTCAGCCGCTGCCAGTAGGCAGGGCGGACGGCAGGTGGTCCCATTCCAGTGTGTGACCCCATCAGCATGTTGATGCTGTAGGTCTGTCTGGCTTTCCAGAATCTCAAACACACATACATGCTCAAGACTCTGCACCAAAGCTTCCTTTAACTCTGCTAAATATGGTCTTAACTCCACTTCGAAGACAAACAGATAAGCTATAACTGTTCTGCAATAACCTGTCTGCATTAGATTATGCCAGCTGGGTGAAAGAGAATAATCTGTGATGTGTTTAAGTAGCTAAAATAAATTTTCTGCTTTTACAATACTGTAATCTCACTACTCTTGCCCAAGTCTGTTAAAAACAAACTATTTTATACCGGAAGACTTTCTACGATAGCTCTCATTAGGTAGTTAGTAGACCTTGCTCACTTGCAATCATTACACACTTCTTTGAAGCTTTATTTATACATTTAATATTGTGGATATGCAAAAGTCAGAGAGGGATCCGGCTGATTTAGAAGGACTCTCTTAAGACAGCTTTCTGTCGTGTCCTTAAGGGGTAATTGATCATTAAGAAAACAAAAAATATGTGTCCATGGGTCCCTGCTGATATATTGAATTTATGTCTCCATGCAGTCAGTTGATGAGCATATTATGAGAAATGTTCTGGCCTTATGACTGTAGCAGTTGGATGAGATTTTATACTTTGGTGACCACTTCCCATATCCAGCAGAATTGGCCTCCTAGGAGAGGTCAGAGGTCAAATGAGGTTTTCTGCATAATTGCAAGCATTTCTCTGCACAATTGCATTAAGGCCACATGACAGTTAATTCCTAGTGCATATACATTGTTTTCACGCCAAAAGAAACTATTCACATTGAATAATGCAGTCATTTGTCTAAAACCAAGACAGATATGCTAAATTTGTTCTAAAATAGAGCCCTCAAAGGTGTCTTTTGAAAGGCTGTTTTTGGAATTAACAATGCTTTGAATCCCCTGTCTCCATTGGAATGAAACATATGCCCTAAAAACATTTTAGTTGTTAGGACATAGAGCATAAGCATTAATACCAAGAATAATTATTTTAGCTGCATTTTGTATGTTTGCAGATCAATTTCAAACTTCCTTGATTCAAATATTCATTAGACTTTACATATTTATGTTTAAGTTGTGTTTTATTTCTCTGTGTTTATTCATCCAGAATTGGGTCTGTGTGTGTACATATTTTAGAGTTTATAAAATTTTAGTTATAAATTCCGTTTTATAGATGTGAACAAAATGGGTCCTTTCATTCAGTTAGTTTGTTTTCTGGATACTTGTATCCCATTCAAAGTGTAGCCCTGCCTTGTGCTCTGTGATGGACTGGCATCCCCTCCATGCTGTACCCCTGCCCTGTGCCCTCTGATAGACTGGCATCCCATCCAAAGTGTACCCCTGCCTTGTGCCCTGTGATGGACTGGCATCCCATCCATGCTGTACCCCTGCCTTGTGCCCTGTGACAGACTGGCATCCCCTCCATGCTGTACCCCTGCCTTGTGCCCTGTGACGGACTGGCATCCCGTCCAGTGTGTACCCCTGCCTTGTGCCCTGTGATAGACTGGCATCCCCTCCAGTGTGTACCCCTGCCTTGTGCCCTGTGACGGACTGGCATCCCGTCCAGTGTGTACCCCTGCCTTGTGCCCTGTGACAGACTGGCATCCCGTCCAGTGTGTACCCCTGCCTTGTGCCCTGTGACAGACTGGCATCCTGTCCAGTGTGTACCCCTGCCTTGTGCCCTGTGACAGACTGGCATCCCCTCCATGCTGTACCAGAGATCA